TTCGGGCTGGGCAAGATGGGCCTCCTTTTCAGGCACTTTGGGATTGGATTTTCCAGAATTATCATCAAGGAGGGCCTTGACTTTTGGCTGTACACATCCGGCGAGGGGGGGGGGGGGGGATTTTGATAGTGTTAAACCCATAAGATATATATGTGGGTAAAAAAGGTTAAAGGTTCCCCTCGTACATCTATGCTAGTCGTTCCCGACTCTAGTGGAGGTCTCTGATCAAGTGGCCGGCATGACTAAAGGGTGAAAGGGCACTGAACGCTGTTATGTTCCCACCAAAGGTAGTCCCTATTTTTCCACTTGCATTTTTACATGATTTTGAACTGCTAGGTTGGCAGAAGCTGGGACAAGTAATGGGAGCTCTCACTCCATTATGAGGTGCTAGGGATTTGAAGCTCAGCATCTTAGCCCACTGAGCCACCGCATCCCTTTTGTATGTGGGTATAGGTGTACATGTATAGCACAGGCATACATGTGTTTCCCCACAGTATACAATGCCATAATAGGAGTTTTGGTTTGTAAGCTTTGTTGTGCGCGTCTAAAGAATTTGTCTGAATTTTGGTTTAATGTTGTAGGAAGCCTGGGGTAACTACACAAACTGTGATACAGAATGTTGTGGTTTGGTGTGATGTTAGCAGGGGGTCAGAGAAAAGGAGTGGAGTGGGGGCTATATGTGAGAAACTCTTTTGTTTCTTTGGGTTCATCCTCTGACAATATTGTTTTATATTGAAGGGGTTAGATAAAGTTAGGTTTGTTGTTGACACATTTTCTATCCTGCAGAGAAACTAAGGATTATTCTCCAAAGCTAAGTAATTTAAAGGGAAACAGAAAGTGAAACACAGACTCTTGGTGAAGCTTATCTCTCTGGCAAGAACTTTTTCATTTTTCCAGTACTGTACTTCAAAAAAAATACTGTTTGCTTATGTTTTAAGCTTTAAAGTATAACATTTTATTTTATTTAGTTATAAACATTCCTGAAATGGAAAGGGGTAGGTTCCTAATCAAATAAAGTAATGTCAGGCCCAGAAATGAACACAACATAAGAAAATCCTAAGACAATCCATAGAAAGGATTGATAGAAAAAAATGTCTTAATTGAACGAGATCAGAAAAGAGGCTATAGTTACAAAACTAACAAATAGGAATTTCAGATTGAGGAGGCAGGCTTTTTCAAGGAGTTAAAGGTATTAGAGACATTCTATCAATCACTGAACTAAATGTGAGCAATGTACAACAGTTCTGGTTAAAAGTTGGAAGAATTAAAACCTAGTTATAGAAAGAGAGGCTTTGTTAACCTTGTTTAATAAGTAAAACAATATAAAAAAGTAAACGTGGCTGAGTGAAATAAAATATTTGTGCCTAGAGTAAGCAATTGAATTGCTGGATGTGAGCAAACAGGTATAGCCAGTGTGTATATGCAATCCTACATTGCTTTATTGTAGCCTGTGTTTTTAAGATTAAAAAATAATTGAGGCAAGTTGCCTCAATATGATGGGCCTGAATGTACTTATAGGAAGATGGAATTTTGAAAGACATTTTAGATTAAATCAGTATATTTTTCCTTGTGTAGTTGTTTTCTTTATTTGAGAAGTTGTACTGGACTCAGTTTTAAAATTAAAGAGAACTTCAGAATGCTTATTGTTTTTCTCAATCTCGCTTGAGGAAAATGCTGGAAGATAAATATCAAGCTCAAGTAATAAAACTGCTAGGGGAAAATCACTAACGTTTTGGAGTGGGAAACAAGGTTAAATTGAAGTTCAGGAGAAAGGAGATGCTTCTCCTTAATAAGAAAATAAATTAGGATTAACAGTCAGCATCTCTTGAGTGGGAGAGCCCTCAGGTTTCACTGTATTTGCTTGGGAGATCTGAATATTGAGTATGTCTGCCATTAAAGGTAGTATACTAGCTGTAACCCTTCTTGAATAAATCAGATTTGGCAAATTGTGCTCAGGTTATTCTCCTGACAGCTGCAACAGGTTTGATGAGTGATAACCCTTGAAAGGTGTCTAAAAGTTGCAATTGGTGAAAAATGGGGCAAGTAAGCTGCTAACCAATGGGTGATACGGGGTCAAAGAATGATCTTGTGTACCAGATGCTTACTGCTTACCAAACACAATTTAAAGATTCAGTGTAAATCTTTGAAGTCCTAAACAGTTTAATATCTAATTACTAAAGGAGTCTCATGATGTAACCTCTCCTGTGAGGTTAGAATGAAAGGAGAGGACTCTTTGAAAATGTTCTCATTATCAGAGAGAGATTTCTTGATGGCCTTTTTTGATATTGTTTCCAGACATTAGAATACACTTCTTTAAGAGGTGCCTTGGGATCCAATTTTTTCATCATTTAAAAAATCTGTAAAGGCACCTGTCCTTTGAAGAGAGATGCCTTCAACTTATATTTTTGTTTTTCCCCCCAGTTTTCATGTTTTTTAAAAAATTGTCTTGACTATTCACTAGAGTAAAAAGGTATGATATAGAACAAGTAAATAAAGTTGGTATCGGTGGCTGCTACAATTTTTTTTATTGGTTGTGCTGATTGGGGTTGATCAGAATTGAATTCCATACTATAGGAGGCACCATGAGAGGGGGAACATATAAGGTTGCTTGTTCCAGATGGTGCTGTTGCACGGATGGTTTTGTTTGTATATATTTGTGTTACCTGTTAAAACCACTGAGAAACGTCATACATGTTAAAGTGCAAATTTTCATATCAGATAAAGTTATTTTGATTCAAGTTTTGTTTAGGATAAATTAAAGTTCTAGGTTAAATCTAAGAAGCCAAACCACTACAGTATAATAGGGAATGATTCTAGTCTGAAATTATAAAAAGGCATTTGTTTTGCTATTGACATTTTTTTTTAAAAAAATTACTAATATATGGGAAGGGTGCTTGATATGGCACTTACTCCTTCATTTCATATTACAGGTTGGAGTACGAGGAAAAGATATTGTAGTTCTTGGCGTGGAGAAAAAATCTGTAGCGAAACTTCAAGATGAGAGAACTGTCCGAAAGATCTGTGCCCTTGATGACAATGTCTGCATGGCTTTTGCAGGTACTCTAAGGATGGATTTTCAGCCTTTTCCCAATTTCACTTTTATTTAGATTTGTGTGAGACTATACATCTAAGAATTCTTAGCCAGTGCATTGCTTGCTATAAATGCTAGGAATTACCTTCCAGTGGATCCTTTTGTTGTTATTATTTGCAAAGAATCTCAACAAATTAAAACTATTGGGGCTAGGGAAAAAAATCTGGGGATTCCTTCTCTTCTATTGTCCTGAAAACATCCTAATTAAGGACTGTTTTCTTTATCTTTCAGGTCTATTTTAAACCTCTCCTTTAAAAAAAAAGTACTTTAAAATTGATTATGATTTGTTTTTGAAATCCAAATCTTTATAAGCAAATGGTATTCAGAAATGTCATCTTTCTATTAATGGAAATTTAATTATTTTGACTTGAATATCATAGTGTCATTCTTCTGTCAGATATTTCAGTAGCAGAGTTTTCCTGTTTTACTCCGCCCACCATTTCTCCCACCTGGTGGGGGTGGATTTAATAGGATTAAAACTGCTGTCAGTCCACTAGTCCACTAGATTATTGCAATTAAGTTTTCCTGATTTTACCAATCAGGTTAGCCAGCCCTTAAAGGCAGAGTTCTGTAGCACTGATTCGTCTTTTTACTTAACAGTCAGATTTAGGTACAACACTCCTTTTTTATTTCTTTTTCTAAACTAAACAATCTTAACAATATGAGCGGAGGAATGGCAGTCACAAACTGTCAGGTTAATCTTTCCTCTGTTCTTTTTCATTCCAAATCATAGGAACTCATAAGATATCATAATGAAAGTGTGCTGGGAGTACACGTAACATATATCCAGATCAAAATATTTTTTTTCCTGGAACATAGGATCAACATGGGCACAAAATAAAGAATTCATTTAACCATCTTACTAAAATAGAAATATTTTTATCTGTCTTATTTTGCTAAAAGCAAATTTTAATATTTTGAACTATTGTTTACAGGTCTTACCGCAGATGCCCGGATAGTTATAAATAGGGCCCGAGTGGAATGTCAAAGCCATAGACTCACAGTGGAAGATCCAGTCACTGTTGAATATATTACCCGTTATATCGCTAGCCTGAAGCAGGTATGTACATTTTTTTAAAGGCCATATTCATTCCTTGGTTTTGTTGCAAACTTTGGGCAAAAATGGAATATAATATAGCTGCTTTTATTGGGCAAAAATAAAGTCTAATCCCCCCCCAAAGGTAATGAAAGATAGTAGGAAATAATGTTTCCTATTCCAGTTATTAGATACTATGTTTGATCTTTTTTGCAGCTTTAATACAGGTAGTCCTCTACCTGTAATTGTTCATTTAGTGGCTTCAAAATTACAACATCACTGAAAAAAGTGACATGACCATTTTTCACACTTATAACTGTTGTAGCGTCTTCATGATCATGTGATCAAAATTCAGACACTTGGCAATTGACTCATATTTATGACCTTTGCAATGTGCTGGGATCGTGTGATCTCTTTTTACAATCTTCTGACAAGCAAAGTCAATGGGGAAGCAGATTCATTTAACAACCGTGCTACTAACCTGTCTGCAGTGATTCACTTAGCAACTGTGACAAGAAAGATTCTAAAATGAAGCAAAGCTCACTTAGTAATAGCAATAGTACTTAGACTTATATACTGTTTTGCAGGGCTTCACAGTCCTCTCTAAGTGGTTACACAGTGAGCATATTGCCCCCAACAATTTGGGTCTTCATTTTACCCACCTCGGATAGAAGGCTGAATCAACCTTGAGCTTGGTGAGATTCGAACTGCCAAATTGCAGGCAGGCAGCAGTCAGTAGAAGTAGCCTGCAGTACTGCACTCTAACTATTGCGCCATGGATCACTGTGGCACTTAACAAATGTTTCACTTAGCAACATAAATTTTGGGCTCAATTGTGTTCGTAAATCAAGAACTACCTGTACTTGCTTCTGTCTTTGACAACTTAGTGATGTTCTTTTAATTAAAGGGTATGATAAGGATACCTTTCAGTTCCTAAATATGCATTTGAAAAACATCCAAATTCCAGACTATTTTAATAGATTAATGAGCAAACAGATTTAAAATATTGATTCTTCAACATCGTTTTGATTACTAGTAAATGTTTTCCAAAAACTATAGAGTACTGTTTTGCAATTTTCAAAAAGCATGGATTTGAAAATGATATTCTGAGTTTGAAACATCTGTTCTGTACTTGCTGGAAGTATTTCAGTGCTGTTTGATCATTCAGATGTTTTGCTTCTTTAATGTGGAGCTAAGGTTCAAATTCACTCTGTTTTGAACTCTGAACTGCTATCTGAAATAGGGACTTTTGCACTTAAAATCTTTTGAGCTCTTCTTCAGAACATAATCTGATTACTTAGTTGTCAAGTATTTGTTCATGAATTTTTACATCACTTGGCATACAGTTATCATAGTTCTATTTTCATAACACCATTTCCCCCTTGTTCTTCTTCAGCGATACACCCAGAGTAATGGCCGCAGACCTTTTGGTATTTCTGCCCTTATTGTAGGGTTTGATTTTGATGGAACTCCAAGGCTATATCAGACTGACCCTTCTGGCACATACCATGCTTGGAAGGTGAGTTGACCCATTAGATTTTGTGAAGATGAAAATGAAGGAGCACTTAAATCCTATAAGTAAATACTTCCATCAGATTAATTCACACTCTCATAATCTATGAAAGATCAGAAAGTATTACACAGTTTAACCGGAATATCTTATTCCTTCGTCTCCAATTCTGGATTAGATATCATACCCTTTTTAAAAACTGTTTAACCATACTGTGATTCAAAATAGTACATTCCCTATTATTCACAATCCGTGTATTTTCCTGCATTTATTTATATGGAGAAACCAGAGTTAGACTAGGTTTATGCATCATACTAACCACAATGTGACTGGTTTGGTTTAACAAGATATGTGAACCCTGCAAAGTGGAACATGGTTAAGCAAATTTAGTTCTTTGCTTAGGATTTAATGGACTACTAGAAAAGTAGACCCAAGGCAAGATAGGTGGCAAAAGAATTAATTAATTAAATTAAGTACATTTTAAAATGAAAGCTAATCAATGTGGAAACAGCCAAAAATGGCACAAAATAATTTATAGCAACTATTTGGTTAAAGTTCTATTGTCATTTGCGTTCTCTTATTTATAGGAGTGTCTTCTTTTTGATATTTATAACATTGTAGAACTTCCCAGTCAACAATTGGAATTACCTCATTGTTAAAAATATTGGTTTAGATATAGAAAATGCACATGGTTACCCAACTTACATATAAACTCCGGGTAGCCAGCAATAATGAAGAAGAGCAATATAGTAACTTTTAAAGCTCAACCCTTGACCAAATAATTAAAAGGAATCATAGTACAATAGCAAAGGCACAATATAACAAACTGAACCACACACACCACACTTGCAATGGGTCTCCCTAAAAGCCAGTTGTTCAAGAAGGAGAGGAGATGGGGTCTTAAGGGAGCCTGCTACATAGGACAGGCATCATAATATTGTGGGCCTGTCTTGCTGCAAAATACTTTTGTCTGATTTCCCTAGACCCTGGAGTTAATTTCAGGGTGAGGTATGCAGTAATTGGACCTGGAATATAGCCATCAATTGGCTTTGTCACTTTGTGGTAAAAAGAACTTATCTCTTTCATTAAGAATATTGCATGTTAGGGGATTGTTGATGTTAATTGGGGTCATAGTATCTGATAATTGTTATTAGCTGGAGGCATCGTAAGCTCTCACATGAAACATTTAAATATGTAAATATTTCATTGACATTTTTCATCATTTTGCCAAGCTTTGCCAAGTATATTTCTTATCCTAGGCTAATGCAATTGGCAGAGGAGCAAAATCCGTGCGGGAATTTCTGGAGAAAAACTATACTGATGAAGCCATTGAAACTGATGATCTGACAATTAAACTTGTTATCAAAGCCCTTCTTGAAGTAAGTGACAACATATGAATTGTTCCTAACTTGATTATTTTGATAAACAAGCCTAATAATTTGATATACTTTAATTTCATTCAGTAAAATTAAGGTCCAGAGTTCTTTGCCTGGTTCTAAGATTTATTTGGAAGAGAGACATTTTTTCTGGGTGTTCTAAGTTCATTAGATTGACGCACTCTTAGATTTGACATGCAGTTCAAATGAGATGTCATCTTTCATTGCAAAAAAATCCTCAATTGTAACACATTTGTAAGGAAATTGTTTTTCTAAATTTCCACATTTTAAGGTTGTACAGTCTGGTGGAAAAAATATTGAGCTGGCTGTTATGAGAAGAAACCAACCTCTCAAGGTAAGCTGACTTAAATAATACTATTTTTTTTGTTTTGAGGATGGGTTGTATATCATAGTTGCTTGCAAAAGAGCCCTGCACTTGAAAGGGGGTGGCTTCCTAATAAATAATAGATAATTGACTTCTATACATACTTGAAGCCTAAATAAAGGAATAATTCATTGCAAATTGTTCTGTTTCACTCAATTTTTTTCCTAAATTCATATATACATGAAAGCAGAGGTTTTTCAAACTGGATAACTTAAAGATGTGGGGATTTCAACTCCCAGAGTTCCTCAGCCCCAGAATAATGGTCCTACTTTTGGGCTCCAGGGATTGGTTCCATGGAGGGCAATTTTTCCACGGCCTGTAGAGGGCATGGTTTCATGTGCTGTCTGGATCCTGTGCATGCGTAAATGGGGATTTGCTTGCTCGCGTGACCCAGTTCCTGGCAGGCCTTGGACCAGTGGCGGTCCACAGCCCAGGGTTTGGGGACCCCTATTATAGAACATTATAAATGCAATTTGAAATTTTGTCTCAAATGAAAAAAAATATTGCACAGCGGTTTTTCATTTAGTTAACAGCAGCGTCCTTGACCTAACAGGACTAGAAAAGATGGGGATGAATAAAATAGGCAATTGATTTATCTGTATTTCCCTTACCTGGCTTGCTTAACTGCACTGTTACTCTGCTTATTACCATTGGATCAAAGAGAATCCTTCAGAGGATGAGATTTGTCGGAACAGTCCACAATGAAAACTCTGGTTACATAATATTTGAAACTGACCTATTGATTGTATTTTCATCACTTCCCTTTAGATATTGAGCCCTGATGAAATTGAAAAATATGTTTCTGAGATTGAAAAAGAGAAAGAAGAGAATGAGAAGAAGAAACAAAAGAAAACTACAACATGATGAATGAGTTTCTTTAGTTTTGGTTTTTAAATCAATCATGAGTCTGTATAGATATGTAAGCATTCTATTTCCTTGTTCTCTGCCCCTTTTAAGAGGTCTACAATAAACCACCTGTTTTTTTAAGCTTGTTACTAGAAGAGGCTCCATTCTTATATGTATATGTATATATATAAGCCAGACTGCAATAATACCAGTTTTTCTAAACAAAAATCGAAAATGTTTTCATAACTTGTTCAGGAACCCACAATTTGACATAGAAGATACCTTTTATTACTAATTGTTCTATTACTGTTTATCACCACTGCTGCATTGCTAATGTTTGTTCCAGTTTATTAAAATACATCAGGGAAATGACTGACAAAGCCTAAAATTGCTGAAACCTCACTCCAGCATGATGTGGAAATGGTTCATACTGAAGTTTTGCACTTAAAATATGAAAGATAACATGTAAACTTCTGATCTCTGTTGAACGTTTGACAGTAGATCTGTGTGTGAATTGATTTCTAACTGCATGGCAGTAAATTTCAATAAAATCATTTTGGCAGGTAATCGTAGAAATTCTCATACAGATTCAGGATGGGACCATGGTTGTAATGTCACCCTGAAATTATGAAAATGTTACCGTCGTCTTGCTTCTTTGAAAAATATATTGGTGTTGAGCCCTTTTCTTCCAAGCTAATCTGGTTTTGTTCCTTTGTCAGTTCCAGGCAATCATCAAAGTCACAGGAGTTACAATCCAAAACTTCAAAGAATTGGCAAACATACATACCAAGTATATTTTGTGGGGAAAGGATGCAGTATGATGAAAAGTATTTGCATATAGAACATTTGGAAAATAGGGACTATTAAGTTGAATCATTGGAAAAAGGGGATTTTCTGTAACAGAGCAAATAAGCATTTCAACAAATAATGGGTTCCTGTTCCTTGAATAATGGGTCCTTTGTGATTTTGCAGCCCAGATAGAATAATGTAAGGTAGAAAACTAAGATTCACAGGTCTGAACCACGCCCTATGGCAGCGTACATGTACTGGAGAATACTTATAAGCCTTTGAAAAGTAGTGTCAAGATCCTGACTAACGAACCCAAGAATATCAGAACTTGGATGCTGAGGTCTTCCTCAAAGAACTTCTTTATTGGATATATCATATCAGCATGATCAAATGTAAGACCAACTCCAAATGCTTCCCCGGTTTCAGTATAATTAAAATAGGAAATAATTCCCTCCCCAAAAGTCACGTTGGCCAATTAGGTTAATTGGTGGCCTGTCCAGGCACTCCTTCCCATCTCTATCTACCATCTGTAGAGATTACCTTGATTCCCATGAGAAAGTTGTTTTTTGCCTAATGCATTCCATCCTCCTTTTCCCTCCCCCCATGTGGAACTGAGGAATAGCAAAATGGCTTCTGCCAGGTTCAATTCGAAGTTGATAAGTAGTGCACAAGTGCAAAATTCACAAAGATTCAAGAGAATAGGATATAGTAATTGTAATGAATGGAAAAGTACGGTAATTTTCAAGTTCAGTATAGGTGTTTCACATGATTTAAAAACAGAAGAAACTTGGCTTCTGAAGTGATGGCAGGATGCTTCCATTACCAGTGATACTTTCAGAGCAAGTAGTTTTAAAAGGATATATTTCTAATGGGTTTTCATTCATCAGTATTAATGCTTAACTGCCAATTACCAAATTCAAGGAAATGTGCTCATCCCAGTGTTGCTTTATCTGGGCAGCCTATTAATCTCGAGCACTCAAATGGCATGTCAGCAATATTGTGCAAGCAAGAGGCTATTGCTGTTACAAACAACACAGATTCCCCTTGGAAGTATCACATGTATAGCCAGGACTAGAAAGTTGGTATATTGTAGAACCAGTGTCAATAAGAATAGTCTACATGGGGCAAATGTTGACTTCTTTGCAAGGTGAATTACTATCTTCACAGAACATCTAGGGATGTGTAAATCATCCAACCTTGAATTTAAATTTGGCAAAAAAACCTGAGCTGCATAATCAAATTTAGCTGTTTTAAATATTTAATAAGTGGCAGAAATCAATGAAAAAATAGAACTGTTCAGACTCGATCTTGTCATTTTTGCTCAATTACATGCAGGGGTGTGTGCTTTGCAAGGATATTTTTCCCTCTTAAGCAATCATTTTGCTCTTCAGAGTGTCCCTACAAACTGCAACAATGTATAGCATGAGGTTATGTTTTGTAAGACATAAATGTTAAGTATTTAAAAATACTAAACTGGTGGCTTCAGATTGGTTTCTCTAAAAGGAAACCCAATCCATTTTTCATCATTGCTAAAATTTTATTTTCCAAACCTTTCAGCATCTCTTATCCAGGCAAAAGTATTTACATTTCAAAATAGAAATTTAAGGAGCAAGTCACTAGGCTCGCAGGAGAAAATGTTGAAACTTCAGCAATAAAGAACAAACTAAATGATATGCGGTTAACATATTGTATGAAAGTGCTTTTGAAGTAAGGAGACAATGTGTGCATGTGTATGTGTTTTTTCTTAACTCAAGAAATCATGTATCTAATTCTGGGCATCCTAATTACAGCATCTTCCTGTTTGCAAGCATTAAGTCTTTTCATTGAAAACTTTAAAAAAAAAACCCAAAATCAGAACAGTTAAACATTTACATGTTTATTTATAATTACAATTTACATGACTCCATAATGCGACCTCACCACAACGTGTCACTCTTTGCGATGAAGGCCTACAAAAGAAACTAAAGCTTTACACCAACTTAATGCAAGACCTAGGGGGGAGCCATGGAAATGGGGGTGGCGGGATGCGGCCTCCACTAGGGAAGCGTTTCAACAGAATATTTCTACAAGGTAACAAAAGTGGCACAAACCTATTACTAAAGGCTTTTTACCCATTTCCATGCAAGTGTATAATCCCTGTGTGCTCATATCCTCCACAACTATTTTAAAAACACAAAAAAAATGAACTATTTATAAAGTTGGGGGACGTGAAGAGCAACTGAATTTTACTGAATGAGCCCAAGCTTCATTTAGAAGTTGCATCTCGCATTTTTGAGAGAATGTGAAACTTGGGACTTTTTCCCCTTTAAATCCGAGAGATAAAAAGGATCCCTCAAGATTTGCTGAAAGGGCATGATGTGTTTTAAGTTTGAAGCCTTCTCCGCCTACAGAAAATCCGCAGGGGCATAGAATGGCTCATCATTAGAAAATAGACAACGGCATTCATCCTGGATCAGTTTCGAGATACTAATTCTTCTGAGGGGTGACCAGCACTCCAAGCAACTCTGCAGTGTGTAAAACTCCAGAGGAAAGATTTCTCAAGCGGCAAGTCAGAATTACAGATAACATGGTCAGCGACAAATCCCATCACTACATCACACGCACAACATGTTTGCACTAGAATTGGTTTCTAGACATCAATCTGCTCCAAAGGGGGGAAGGGAAGGAAGGTGAAGAGAAAAGCATACAAGTCAGAAGAAAAAGGATACCAGCAGACTTATCTCTTCTCCAAATTTTAAGTTGCTGGTTTCATTTTTTTGGAAGAGTTCAGAATTGCATCGCTTTCTTTAGGAATAGAACAAGCACTCCTCCCTGTCCAACTACAACAGTGGCTAGAACTTAAGAAGCAGCAGAGGTTCCTTGCACTACTTGCAAAAGACCCTCACCCGCAAAAAGAGAAAAATTGGGAGAAAAAAAACAAAACACCTTGAACCGGTGATTCCCAAGCACACTCCTGTTGAAGCAATCCCAGTGCTCCCTTCTGCTGTGACAGACTAGCAATAATCCCATCGGAATTTAGGCTTGTGAAGGTAAAAGTTTCATTCATCCATCCTTTTTTTTTAAGTGCAGCAAGTTTGTATTGTTCCCTCCTTCCTATGTACACAACTTCATAGCGATGTGTCTGAAAGCTCTAAAATAAAACAGACATGGTTGGTTGGTTTTTTCAAATATACAATAAATTAATTTTATTAAGTTTATTTACTGCTCATCTTATTGCAAGTTGACTCTTTTTATTTATTTACCTTACTCTGCTGGATGCTTGTTTACTTCAAATGAATAATAAAGGGGTGGTGGAGGCATACGGGACAAGTAAAAACAGGAGAATTGGAGGGCATTGGGTGTTTACAATTCCCAGACTTGTCTGAAATGGTATACGGTCTCTTGCTTGAGCAGGGGGTTGGACTTGAAGACCTCCAAGGTCCCTTCCAACTCTGTTTTGATTGCTTGAAATCACTTTAAAAGTACCCTGAAAGTATTTTAAGTTCTAAAGGCTAACTAGGTGCAGGTAGTCCTCCACTTATGACTGGTCACTTAAGTGACTGACTGAAGCTACAGCAGATGTCCCAAAAGTTACAAGTAAGTTCTGGTTTTGAAGATCCGATGGCCACCCTCCCTCCCAGTCACGTGATTGCATTTTGGGTGCCTGGTAATTGGCCTACATTTCTGACCATTTGCAGCATCCCCTGGTCATGCAACTATGATATATGATTTCCACCAAAACCTGCCATTTTCTTTTGGCATAAAATGGCCTGTAGTAAGGAGTGGTTCGCTTAATGACTGTGGCATTTGCTTAACCATGTATTCACTTAACCATCACCCCCCCAAAAAGGTAATAAAATCAGGCAATCCACTTTATGACCATCAAAAACTTATAACCATAAGGTTCCATTACGTTCATAAATTGAGGATTACAAAAACCTTGAAAAGTTCTGCCCATGAGAAAAGCTTGCAACACCATAAAAGCAAATATTTCACTATTTTAAATACCCCCGAAGAGTCTAATCAGTTTTGAGGAACAGACTCATTATAAGCAAACCATTTAATTTTCTTTCTTTATACCAGCTGCTCTAAGAAAGATGAACCTAAAATACTTAAATTTTGTAACTTGCCTGCAGAATTCAAACTCTTCCAGTGCCAACTCTGGGAGTAGCCTGACTTCGCCGCACAGCTCCAGACCCCCTTCCACCACGAAATCCCCCACGAAAACTGCGGCCACGGAGAAATCGCCCAGAAACACCAAAGGTCTCTGTGTTCAGCTTCCGTTCTTCAGCCCATGTTGTACGCCGTGAACTAAAGAACAAAAGTAACCAGTTTTCCTGTTACAGTCCAGTTTTCTTGAACTTCCTGCTGTCTCAAGCAAAGACTAAGACTAAAGTCTTAGCATCATTTCCCACACAAAAGACTGTCACAAAATATCCTATAAAATGTGCTTTATGATTGTAAATTATTCCAAATCATATTGCTGCGGCTGAGATTTCCAAAACACGTAGATCAAGTAATTCAGAAGGATGGATTAGGCATAAAGGATTCAGTAACCAAACAACAGTATTTATCAGAAGTTTCTGCCAAGAATATGTTATATACATTTGACTTTTTTCTGCTTCCCTCTATTATTAAAATCTTAACTGAAGACAGAACTTGGTAAAAGTTAAGAAACAAGGATATCAAGAACCCCAAAGAATACATCAGGGCACTTAGGGCAACAAAAAGAACATACATTGCCACCTTGGTTGCGTCCGCCAAGTCCCGTCCAGCCGCCCTGTTTAGGATAACCCGTTCCCTCTTAAATAAGCCCTTGCAGGGTAGGGCTGAAGACTATGCCCAGTTCTTAGCGGACAAAGTTGCTCAGTTTTGGTCGGATTTGGACTCCACTTTTGCAGATCCAGCCGAGGCACGAGTGGAGGACCTGGTAGACCATCGCTGGGTTGAGTTTCAGGATGTTAC